TCCCATTGAGAACCTACTAGTACTAAGTTGCTAAATGGTTAGCAAGATGCTTCCAACAAACCGGCCACAATCAAACTTGCTTGCAAAACTTACGCCACAACAATCCCGCTCCCTTGATAAACGAGCAATCACATTCACTTTATTCACTCGTGTAAAGTCGGAGACCACTCGGGAGAATTCGGAAATGCAGCAGTTGGAACAACTGCTTCCCTACAAATTTAACTACACCACAACAAAATATTTGTTCTATGGAAAGGGTTTGATTTGAAAACGGTTTCCAATGTGATGGTGTCTGTTGCTTTGTACAGAAAAAGAAAAAACGTCCTTTCCAAAATAGCCCTGAGAGATGTCCAGTATGACTTGTTGCTGCTGCCTTTTTAAGCAGGGAGGATTTTTTTCATTGCATGTGAGTTTTTAAGAGCGTACTCTCCTCTATTGGTGTGGCAGGGAAAATACACTGTTTTTAATTTTTTTGTAGTGGCCTGTGATTCGTAACTAAAATGTCAACAGAAACAGAAACTTAATGGACAGTTCTTGTCCAAACAGTGCCTGAGAGCAAAGTGCTGCTAACATGCCTCTGTGCAACAGTTGCATTTTTAGGGTGGGGCCTTATATTCTGGCCATAAGCTCTAAACGTGAAAAGTTTGTTTCCCGTCAGCTCTGTCTGCAGCACAGCGAGTTCACACATTACACCCCTCACAAACAACTTTAGAATAAAGTGATAAAATCCATCCTTGTGATAACTGGTGAAAAGAAATTCACAGAAACACATTGAGGTTAAAGTAATTCACCGCTCTTTGCCTTTCAGACTGGAGAAGCTGCAGAAGAGTCTTCAGACAGCGACGGAGAACAAGACGAGACTTCACACAAGTTGATCCGCAAAGTATCAACGTCCGGACAGATAAGGGCCAAGGTAGGAGAACGCAAAGGGACCATGTGTGGTTTTACAAGTTGTCCAGATGTTTAGACCTTTTCGAATGTGCTTGGAGCATTTCAGAGCATATATAATACCATAACTATAATCTTTAAAGTTAGGAAGAGAAACCCTATCAAATTATGACATAAAATGCTCTCAGAAAATTCTCAGCTAAGTCAACGGAAATCATCAAAAATTGAGATCTGAATTCGTAGCTTTCGTGGGAGCTCATATTAAGCACTCAGTTATTTAGCAGCATGTGAAAATTTCAAACCTTTCAGACTTTCAGATGTGTTAAGATGGCCATTTGATGGACTTTTTCATGTGTTGTTGGTGGAACAAAAACATTTGTTATCTCCCTCTTTCTGCCTGTCAGACATCTACATTGTCTTTTTCTTCACTTGGTTTCCACCTTATCTTGTACAATCGATTAAATGAGACTTCTGACGTTATCTGCAGCATTTCGGGGGTCTGTTGAGGTCGGCAGAGTGCCTCGTTGCGTCACTTTCCATTTTCACCATCACTGTGATGGCTTGTGTTAGAATCTGTCACACAGGATGTGATCACTGCATGGCAATATCATTTCTTTTTTGGCCTTCTTGTTGGTGGCCTCTGGACTCTGGTATTGATTGCTTGATATTAGGTTCTTGCTGGCATATGAAGAAACACCAGCACTCGACACGAAAATACTTGAGGCTCATGTTACACTGGTAGAGTGGAAACATAGCTGATCAATATGAATGTTTGAAGTCTGAACATGTTGAGGAGTACGAGAAGCAGCATTTAGTTCCTATGCTCCACTTATGTGGAACAAACTTCCAGAAAACTGTAACAGTGAGGAAAGCCTGAGTTCCTTTAAATCAAGACTAAAAACACATTTGTTTAGGATTGCCTTCCACTGTTCTAGTTAAAAAGTTCAACTGAAACATCAGTAGTTCAACTTTTTTATTTTCTTTAGTCCAGCTGTTTTTAATGTTCTTTTTTGTTTCTGCTTTTTTATTTTGTTTGATTTCTTTATTTTTTAATTTATTATCTGTTTTATTTTCCTATATTTTCATCATATAAAGCACTTTGCATTGTCTTTGTACTGAATTGAGCTATACAAATAAATTTCCCTTGCCTTACCTTGCCTTATGACTGACTGGCATAAAATAATTTATGCCGACCATTTCATCATATAGGTGTTAGTTATGTTTTTACATGCTTTTTTCCAGTGGAGTTCAGTTCTGAATGATTTTAAAACTGTTCCTTATTTTTGCATTTTTCTTTTTAATGTTCATATGCATAATTTCATGATGTGAATGTTACTACTGTATATTTGGTTTTGTTTGTTTAGGAAGTAACAGAATGGCTTTAGGTAGTCATGAAGGGGTTTAGTGAGACCGGAAATTAAAGAAAGCTTAGAGAATAAATAGAAAGTAATATAAATAAAAGGAAAACTGTAATTAATTTAGGCTTAGGACTAAAACAACTTTACACTTTCCTAAATTTGGATTTGATAATTGCATAAAAAAAGATTTTTATTAAATCTGAAAATATAAAAGTGTAAATGATTCGTAAAAAAGGTGTTAATGAATAACATCCTCCGTTTTGGAAGATGAGCTTCAGTTCTTCATTCTGGGCTGCGTGTATGAAGCAATGGCAAAAAACAAAGCTAAGTGTTTTAGCTAAAATCGTTATCCATCACCTGCGCTGACCACAGACTGTAAAACACAGGCCAATCAATGGGAGGCAAGGAATTCCCGCAAACTGCTGCCATGGAGATGGCATCCCATAATGCTCGATTTGTTCACGGGAGATAATGGCAGTTGATTCAAGTCTGGTATTGATCACATAATTGAATCATATGAACACTACAGTGGGTTGGTAATGCTGATGGGAGAAGCAGGAGTTTCTCTTCACCAAAGTCCCTGTAAAAAACTTAGAAATACTCTCAAATAGTAATAAAGCAGTAGTTCATGTACAGAGTTGTCTTTTTCAGAGACAATATAGGGAAGGATAGTGTTCATTTAAATGTGACTGTGAAGCAGAAGTTCAAGACTTAGAATTAAATCATATTTCCAGTATCAGACTGAAACTGATCCCTATTTTAAAGTGTTTGTTATAAAAGACCATAAGCCACCACTTTTTTCCCACGCTCTGAACCATGCGGCTCTTCTGTGGAAAGTCAAAGTTGGGAATAAAGGAATAAGGAGCTAATTTTCATTTAGCACAAGAACATGCTAGCAGGACGTACGGTAGAGAACAAATGTTCCGAAGTCACAAATTTTTACATTTATTTGTAACATTAAAGCTGCCGAAACAATGAAGAGACTGGGCTCAACTCCTGCAGAGCTGAAATAAAGAGCTGAGGAAGCCCCATCTTTCAGTAGAAGCTCTTACTGCTGCGAGCTAACAAGCTAACGAGAGCTAGCATTCTTCTATTCAATTCAGTTTATTTATATAGCGACAATTCATAACACGTCATTTCAAGGCACTTAATAATTCAATCACACAGTGAAATTGATTCAAAGTTTTCTATCTAAGGAAAAGCCGTTGATTGAATCAACTCTTCTTCATCCCTACTCCAGGGGCGATATGTAGAGCTCCCCCTACAGGTTTGGAGGGAGACAGTTCAGTAGATATTAGCGGCTTATATTAGCATTGAGGCTTATATATAGGCGTTTCCAGTTTTTTCAAAAAAATGTAGAGGGTGTGACTCATAGTGAGGTGCACTCTATAGTCTGGATAATATGGTATTTATTTGTTTAAATCCTTAACGATTTACCCCCTTTAAAACTGAGATTTTGGCGTAAAGATATATATATAAAAATAAAACAAGTTAAAAACAATACACAAGACATTTCACTTCCCATCCAGGAAGGTTTTTCAATCCAATTTTTCAAATAAATTGAAAATGCTTCCTGGATTGTTTTTAACTTATTTTTGAAATAACTATGACCAAGACGACTGAGAATCTTAGCCAACATACGGCATAAAGATATGTTAAAAAAACTAATTTTAAATATGGCTGAAAAGCTATCACGACAAAAGCCTTTCATATCAGTAGATTTCAATAAGTACAGATCCGTTTCTTGCTTTAACTTTAAAAAATAAGGTCAGGGGAGGAAAAAAGGCCAAATAGAAATTAGAGACTTAACCCTATGTAACCATTACATTTAAAAAGAGTTCACAAATCTTGGCCACGAGAGGTTTAATTCTTTCTTTTGCTCAAATATCCCAGAATACCCTACAGTTCTGGTTTGAAGCTCAATGAAATCATAGATAATTTTATTGTTTGTATTTCCTATTGATCAGACGTTTATTGCGATATATATTTTATGGTTTGATTGCCCAGCCCTACTTTCAAGTAAAAATCTTCACTGTAGCAGAATAATGTCCAAAGGAATGTTTAGTATTTATTTTGATCACTTTAATTAAGTTGTGGAAACAATAAACCAATTTACAAGTTATAGGAAATCCAGCTTCTTTACTGTTGTCATCACTTTGAAAGCCTCTCTGAGCAGTTTCAAGCTTCTCGTTTCTTTTTAATTAAGCTTATACTTCACAGCAGTACTACATTTACTTAAAATCATGTGTGATTTTGTTTGTTTTCTTCTCCTGACAGATACCTTTAAACAATTAGCTCCTTTTGACTAAAGTCGCATGCAGTGACCTCTGTGCAAATGTTGGCTTTACCAAAACGATGCAATCTTGGTAGGACAGGTTGACTTTAATGGAGAACAGATGTGTAAGCACAAAGACTAAAAGGTGTAACTGGATTAACAGATTCTTGAACCAACAAACAGTTCAGGGGCCGAACTTTTATAACCACATTCACATTTAAAAGGAAATCCAGCTTTATCCAGTATTTGTGGATATTTATTCAATTGAAGAATAGTTTCAAACAAAACACTGACATCTTTGTCATTTACATCATTATAAGATCTCTCTATTATAATTACCAATGCTGAAAAAAAAGTTAATATTGGTGTCGTTTGGGTTCTAAATATGTTGCATTTACTACTCGGAAAAACACAGATTTTTCATGCTTCAGCTGAATAACAGCCATCATCCAGCCTATTTTTTTTTCGCTCATTCTAACAGGGGTGCAAATATTTTTTCACACCCTTGAACAGAATTCGGTCTTAAACAGGGCAAAGGTGACATAGCTGTTGAGATGCTAGAAGCTCAGCTCCCGAGTCACATCTGTCTCTCTGGACCCTCTACAACGGCTCTTAATAGTGGCTAAAAATGATATAAAAAGCAAACTAATGTACTGAAATAATGCTAATCCATCTTTGAAGCTTTAGTGGTTTTTTATAAAGAATATTCAAACTGAATTTTCAGCACAGAAGGCCATTAAAAGAACAAGAAGTGTGGTTTTAGAGCAAGTTTTCTTTTAATTAGCTTGGAAATTATGATTTATTATTTTTTTTATAAGATAAAAATACAAAAAAAATGTTGGTTTTTAAGATTGCAGATAATTCACAGAAATATTAGTCTGTGTTTATTAAAATTGATGTAATATTTTGTGGTTCTAATGCTGTTTACTCAGCAGGACTCAGGGCAAAATGGCTATTTGGCCATTAAAGGTTGCAGACCCCTGTAATAGACGGACCTGACTCTGTATACATGCTGCTCAGTGTGTGTATCATTAGTTAGGTGACGTAGATTAAGCTTGTCAACGACTTCAGGATTACGCTCCAGTGACAATAGCCTGAGCCGATTAGTACTTTTGTTTCCTTTTATAAGAGTATGTCGAGAGTATGTATGCACTTTCTGGGCTATAAATAAACTTGAAGGTTCCATTTTTTGCTGAGCAGAATTCCTGCCTCCTTCATAGATTTAATTATGCGTGACTCATTTTGTCCCCTGCCTCTCACCGTCCTCGTTACAGACAAAGTCTGTTAGCGTGCTTGTTAAAGAGCTGCTACTCTTTATTAGCTGTGACATGGCATAACGGCACCATTAGATTAATTTAGCTTCGCGCTCATAGGTTCCTAAATAATGGCGCA